TAACAAGGCAGCCATCTTTGATTGCGAAATCCTGGCATTATGAACTTTTATGATATAATTATCATCTAGTTATGGACTGCTCGTACAACTAATATTATGTATCTATATACATGCAGTTTATTGACAATATAAGAGCACATGCATGTAGTTTGGTGCTGCTGAGCGCCTGCGACGATCTAGGTTTTTTGCGTATTGTGGATTCAAAATATCGTGGATATCGAGTATTGTGGATTCGAAGTATCGATTTGCGGATACGAAGGAAAATTAATGAAAATCAAACGAGTGAAGAAACAATTTGTAATTGATTGTGATGATCATGCAAGGCCTAAGGCTCAAATTTTGGCTACGAATCTTGTCAAACAAAGCGAATTTCATGTAGATTCCATGTGTATATTTAACCTTGTGTATTGACATGTGAAGCACAATGATTTGCATGTGTTTAGGCTTTTAGGCCTAAATCAAAAGTCGTTCTTTTCATGCCCGAACCTGAAGCAAATGAATTAAACTTTTCAGTTATTTTTTATTTTAAACAGGTGCATGGAACACATTTGATGGAAAAATATATTGGAGTGAGCTGCCATGCTGCTCTCAGCCTAACAGGACTGGTTAAATTAAAAATCTTCCTTAGCGGTACCAGTTTAGGCCAACACCGTCGGTTGACGGTTTAATTGGGTCATTGGGAGACTGTGTATTCATATTTCATGTTCAAAGAACCGTTAAAACAATCCTTTTCAAAAGAAATTGGTCTGGTATAGGACGAATAAACACCACGGGAATTAAACCACTAACGGGAAAGGCAATCATCAAGTTGCATTTCAAATAACACATGTCATGTATGTTCACAAATCAGCTAATGAACGTCAATCATACAGTGTCCAATGAACGACTACTTATTAAAGCGACGCCGGGTAAGTATAACTAAAAAAGTTTGGCCATGCAAAAGTAGACCAGTTTATTTACGAAACCTTTCTGTCAAAACCTCTCTTAGATATTTGAATCAAAATATAAGATCAATTTGGACCAAAAGATTTAGTTCACTTTCGGGACGATTATAGTTTTTCTAAAATCCTACCTGAGTTCGATGAGGAACTTCTGCAGGACTTTGTCTTAGTTCTTCGTTTTTAAAGTTGCTCTGTCTTTGTATGTTGCAAATGTTTAACTAGTGGCTAGCGCGCAAGATATCAGCGGCTTGTATGTGCACGGAGCATGAAATTAAATCGCGACAAACGCAGGAAGTTCACCTGCAATGTTAGGTGATATTGGGAGGATTTATTAACACCATTGATTTCTTCTGTAACAAGTAACTAGGCAGGGGTCGCGGAAGATCTTTATGTGGAGGCGGGCTAATATCCATAATTCACCTTTAGCATTATTAGTTTCTTTTCAGAATTGTTTTCTTTTCACGAGTACATGAATATGAGCCTACCCCCACTTCCGCGGCCCCATGCATGGCTTAATATCGAGTTGCTTACTATATGTCTAAATCAAATACATTTTGTATCGCATTGTGAATCAGTGTGGCAGCTGAAAAAATCCATTAACACCAAATGGTCATCATGGTCTAAGATTCGAGATGTGTGAAATCTTGCATGATATCATTAGGTATATATATACAGGAGACCAAGTACTATAATTGGCTTTTGGTTTTAATGATTGATCTTAGGAGTTTGGTACTCGTGTAGGAGAAACGTTTGGGACTATACATGGGTATTTGACAAACGCTGCTACGTGTTTAATTACACTCAAAATGCTACCAATGCGTTAAAATTGCTACCAATCGCTGTAGCCGCCTTGAGCCAACACCATGCATATGTTCGATTTTCAATAAAACTGACCAAAACACAGGTGAAGTAACCTTAGATATATACTGATATCTTAACAAGTCTTTAAACTAAGCCATATAATTTGCATATTTGTTAAAATATCTTTCAATTGCTGCACTATGAATTCAGCAAAGTTTGAGAACATCATTGAGTATTTACAATTTGCCTTAGTTTTTTCTTGTAAATCAAGGCATATCGGAGTTTCTGAAGTAATCACTTTTGCTCCTGTAGGTTAATTTATATCAACTATAGAAACGTTTTGTACGGTATTCAACGTGAGCAAAATTTGGAATAAGGAACCATTATAGCTAGCTAGTGAATAAAGGTCCTATCATTTTCGGCATGCAGGTTTAAAAAATTTCAAAACATATCTGCGCTAAATTAGATTGGTATATTAGATTAGGTATATAGAGCGCATTACCAGACACACACATTATATATAATTATATAAGCGCCTTGTTAACTTGTGATCTTAAAATCCGCGATGCAAAAACAGATTTTCACTGATTTGACCATGCAGTCAGATAACAAAATCGGTACGATTAGAAAAATTTTACCATGTTTTCTCGCACAGCTTACAGTTCTTTTAAAATCTTACCTTTTCGTTTTGATTTCGGACTTCAACTGCAGACCGTTGCTTCTTCAAATTTCTTCCTCAAACTTGTGATAGCTATAGTTGATCGTTCTACACCAGTCTGGCCGTCTTTGCAAATGCACGCAATGTTAGTGTGAGACTGTCTGTCCAGTGCAAATGATCACCAACTTATAGGTGGGGGTAACGAATGAACTTTACAAGGGGACAGGAAGTTCAATTACCAAGCAGAAGTCGGGTGATATAGTGGCTTGCGGGTGAATTGTCAATGCCGACTAGCGGAGATTACCAAAATACATCTATACATATTGATGTAAATATATGTTATCATTGATATTTCTCGAAGTGCGAGTTGTGAAATGTCTATTAAATACAAGGAACGACTCTTTTTGAGAGTCAAAATATGAATCAAACAAGAATAATACTAACTCACCTGACGAATGCTCTCAGGTTGCCGAAACGTCGAGAAGTGTTATGTATTGTTGCTTTGGCGTTGTTATGCCACATTTGAGAACAATACACAGGTTAAGGACCTGTAAATTTTCGACTTTATTTCAAAGTCATTTTCAGACAGAATGACATTGCTTCCACTTTAAGTTCAAATTTCCTTTTCGGAAAGTACTTTGAAATCTCTTGACAATTCATAAAACTCAAACAGCTATAAACGCCGTTCTGAGACATGAGTATATATATGTACACATGCGTGTAAGGTTATATAGTATATCAGTAGAAGAAAATTATTTACACGATTTTTCTTAACGATGTGCAAGTTTCAAATCTTCAGTGCAAAACGCATTTTGTTCGCATTCATAAATATTTTTTCTCACAATGTAAAAACTGATAGGTTAGAATAACCAAAAAAAATAGGCTGTTTGGGCAAGAACGCACAAAGAATTTCTGTGTTTTTCATTTCGTAATGGATCGCCGGTTGTCGGTCCATTACGGGCGAGTGCCGGAATGTAATGGACGGCTGAAAAATTCTTCTTAGCCAATCACTGTGCTCCATTTCACCGCAAATGACGCTTGCCATTTATTAAATGCCTTATAAAACTAGGCTTTTGGATGAAATACAAACACTACAAATTAATGCATGCGCATGTTGGTACTAGAACGTGGGTTACACTCCTTCCCCAGACCCTATGACATCAGAATGCTTACCAATATTTCATCTGAATGCCATTTGAACAATTAATCATTTTGAAAACTGCGCAATCATTTCTTAGTTGCTCATCTAGGGTGGGTTGCTTAAAGCTTGATATATAAATAAATCCAGTTAATAGGTTTATTGTTTGTAACGTACGCGTCAACCCTTTACATGAAGATTTTTACCTAACCATGTAAACATCGCTCGAATATTTTCATCAGTAGATTTCGGCTGATCTTATTTTGGCTGACTGCTGCATGTTTAAAAAACCGCCTTCCTTTGATAATTGTGCTTTATCTTGTAACCACGCGCAGTCTTCTACTGCATGCACTTATAAGTGTACGGTAATTAAGCGTGACTTCGGGTACTTTTGCTTCTAGTATCATTTTTCATATCAAATTAAACACTTTATGGTAACCAATATCACACACACTTTAAATAGCGCTAAATTCATTATGCGCTACTATATAGACGATAATATAGTATATATATTAGGCTCACTTACCCAGATTTTCTTTCATCAGCCGATCTTAGCGGTCGAAGCATCCATGTAGGAATACATCGAAAGCAGTATTTCAAAATCACAGTTTGGATACTTGAATTGTACTTGACACCATCATAAACTAAGCCGAACAAAGGAAGCTTTGTCGAACGAACCCAAAAGCATATTGCCTTCGTTTGGATATTGTCTATGTGATCTATGCCAAGATTCTGTCTTTATATGCATGTAATTCATCCTGTAACCCGGAATTACTGCCGAAATCATTTAAAAATTGCTGAATCTTCTCTTTTAAGCCGTAATCAAAATCTTACTTTCCTTCTTCTATTGTTGAGAGCTTGGCCTGGGTCAAACGTCGCGCTATAACTATTCATGCACGCCAAACGGGATTAACTACAAAAGATGAGTGACTGAGTTGTCTCATTCATGATCTATTGTTCACTCATAAATGCTTTGAAATGACGCTTTCATTGGGAATTTGAATGCATGATTACAACAGCACTGGGGTTTCTTTTTAACTTAGTTTGCTTTCAACTGTAGTTCAGTAGGGGCAGAGTTAGCTGATAGCAGAGTTGTGAATTTCGGAGTTGACCAGTTACAGTAAGGGTTTTATACAACCGGCCCCTGTGCATTAATCATGACCATTGAAATGCTGTCATGCATTCATCGGTGCAGGTAACACGATCGAAATTATCGCAAAGCAACAAAGCAAAAACAATTACGAGAAGCCAGAGAGCAATTACGAGAGGCTGTGTGATGTGAATTGAGGTCTTATAAACCGGTAGAACCAACATGTGAAAGTGGACAAATCCGTTCTGCGCATCGGCTAAGCTTGCTCATAACAATGTGTGAATTTTGCCGAAATTCCGCACCTTTTCATTTCGTCTCATAACAAAACAAAGTTAGTAGCTATACTGATTTAAAGCATAGTGAACGTAAATGTTGTTAGATATTCAGACAACATAACGTATTTCAAAAAGTGTAAAAGTTCAAAATTAAAAAAACCCGTTTGTTTACATACGGACTTGATCAACACATTAATTGTTAAGGTAATCAACCTATAAAATGAAATCCCTAAAATAAAAAATCTAAACCCCTGATAGCTCAGACAAAAATTAAACTTCTTCTAATCTTTTGCAACATGTTTCGGTTTCGATTACTTTGTCTTGTTCGTCTTGACACGTCCGAAGATAACCATATCACCAGGAATGTACACCTCTTCCAGTTGAAAAACATCCTGGTTCGGAAAAAGAACTTGCGTAATAGCGAATGTTGAAATATCTCTGAAATTGAAATATAATTTTTTAAGGTAACTTCGAAGTTGCGCCTCGATTTTTCTTTTGGCTCGTCGTAATGAGGTACCACTGTTCCAAAATATATCCCATCCTGACACGGAATCCGAGTGAACATTCACCGTCGCTGACTCGCCTGTATACGTAATGGTCTGGGCCTGATCGATATTTGGCTTGTAGTACTTGACGAAGTTCACATCAAAGTTTTTTGTCTTTTTTCTTTCTTCGTTCCAGCAATGATACGCAACACGTCCGGCGCATTTTTGTACATAATATGGTATCCTTATTGGCTGGTTTTCTACTTCCCAAGTCACTTTAATCTTCTTTCCTCTATTACTTGATCGAACTTTGAATTTTCTTGCACTAATCGACACGTCAACTTTTCCTGCTTTTGCGAACAATCTAAAATGGTACTTCGCGTCCTGAACTCCGACGACATACTGGGATTGCTGGCTCTCGGTCATACCTGGGAAATTTTTCGTCTGCACATCAAATGATAACTTTTTCCTGATGTCTTTCACCATGATGTCACCGAAGATGATTTTGTTGTTTATAAATAAAACTACTTCGTAACCATTCGGAATGACTTGTCGGTCGATCGTAATGGGATCGTTAAAATCCCTCGGTGTCGCCCCTGTCGCCGAGGAGCTGGTGAAATGTGTGCGGAAGAAAATATAGAGACTCCCGTCACCTGAGCCGTCTGGTTTAAAGCCGCCTAAAAAATTATCGAAATGTTAGTGTCTCGTCTTCTGGCGTCTCACGCTCAGAATCAGTATGGTGAAGGGGCAAAAGCAGGGCGCTTATATATATAAGCGCCCTGATTGGCTGTTGAAAGTCCGGAAAATCACGAAGGCCAAACCAATGAAGAAAAAATGTCTTCGTGATTTTTAGAACTTTCAAAAACAATCAGAAATTTGCCTACGATTTTTCCGATCATGACGTTTGCATGTCGAGTAAATTGCATCCCGCCTCTGTTTAACAAAATTTCGATAAAAATACACTTTTTATAATTTCCAAAATGGAAGTATTTTTAAGTTGTTTTCACGTCTAAAAATGACTGATAAATTTAGTAAATATATCCAAGGTATTTTGTATCTAGATTTTTCTTTCATGAAACTAGGGTAATTTTTGTGTTTCAAGCGATGGTATTAATGTATGCATTATAATTCTTGTCAGAAAGTTGCCAGCCTTAGGATAATTATATACATAAGATATGTATGTGGTACCCGCATTGACCAGGCTGCCTATGATCTGATGGTATTGAATTACACTGGCAACGATACACATATTTCGAGATTCCACAGTCATTAACATAACTGCATCTCGAACTAACTTTTTCTCTTAACGCACAAATGGCGGGAAAAGAATGAGCGGAAACCGATATTAGCGGAGAGTTTAAGACCTACGACACACAAGCAAAGTAACTATTAACGTGAGGCCAAAACTCTGAGCCGAAACTGAAACTTTCGTGTCGAAAATGAAACCTCGTCGCCCGATCTATCGCTTCGTATAGATCTTAATCTCTCCATTTTGATTGTAAAAACATCCTATTTAACTATCACATCACCTGTAGCTAGGTAGAAACGATCAGGTACAAGGGAACGAGGCGTGAGAGTGTCTTCGTACGTGATTCGAGCAACTTCGAAATCGCTGGAATTTAAACGTTTGGCGAAGAAGGCTCTAATTTCGGTTTCGATTTTTGATTCAGTGAGATCACCATTTACTAAATAAGGAACGTTAACAATTGCGGTGGACAAATCCAGGACCACTAATGACTCCTTAGTCAATCTCCCTTTTATTTGAGTTAGCCTAACAATAGCTCTTACTGCAGTATTTCTATTTACTGTCTGATTGACGGCATTAAAAGCTTTTTTTTGAATTCGTCCCAGTATTTTTTTGAAGAAAGTGAGTTCAACTTTCCCACTCTTTATCTTGAACGTCAGCGTAACCTCGTCATGATTATGTTGGATAAATTGAATTTTTGGCGGGCCAACCTACAGTAGTGAAAACAAGAACAGAAAAAAAATACTTGGAATCAAGAATAATATGTAAAATATATTATTTTTTGCAGGATATATCTAGAATTTTCAACTCCTCACTGATAGCTATCGGATTCGGCTGACAGGTTTCATTGTTCTCTGTTCTGTATAATTTTCTTAATCTCGTTGAGCAATCTTAGCACACTTATCATAACGAATATTTGGTGATGCTGAGAAATTTAGTCTTTGTATACGTACCTCAAGAAAGCATCTTGCATACGTTATCATAAAACCATAATCGGAAGCCAGTGTCCTCTCTGTTACTATGCTCTTCACAAACCCAGCTTTAGTTTGACTGTCGTATTGTTGTTTCCAAATTTCGTTCACGCGTTTAGCGCTAACTGCCATTATTGCGTCCCAATTTCGAACTAAAGAGCGACCATTAATTCTTTGGAGAAGATCATGCTTGCTACCAGAAACATCACTTCTGCGGATTCTTCTTCGTCGACTGGATAATCGAGGAGGGTCAAAGATTGCGTTGATGTAAAACCTAATTCTTAGCGTTGTCAGTTCAGACGAGAAGCGAAGATCTTTATTTGTAGTGACGTTTGGAAGCCGAAAGACCCACTTGTCAAATGGTGTCATTTTAATGAATTTTGATTCGAAGTCAGATGATGGTTGCGAAGTGATAATTGCCTCTTTAGTAACTATATTGTAGGTAAAACGGTAACTTTTCGGCGCGGTAGTAAATGATATAGGATTACGGTCTAAGTCTCTGTCTTGGAAGGACTCGCCAGAAGCTATGGCTTTTATGTAGGCTTCGTTGTTTGAAACATTCGCGATGTTGTCAGCGCGCACTTCAACTCTCAGAATTCGCACACGAATATAATTCTGAAACTCCACTGAACTCAATTTAATTTCTTTCTCGCAGCCATCAGAGGATAAAAGTTCTTGTACGCGAACCCCTGGGATATTGTACTCGATAGGTCGTTTAAGATCTTCGGGTGCAGAAGGAAACCTCTCTAAAATCGTAATGCTTGATTGGACTTGTTTTGCAGCGGCTCTTTGGATAGAGAAGGTATCGTAGCGTTTGATCACGGTTGGTTTCTGGAAGTAGTAGTATTGTAAGGCAGCGTCCATGAAGCCAAACGATTGAACGAGATATGTTCGAACTTGGTTCTCTCTCATTTTAATGATAGTTCCAATTTCAAAGAGGTCTGTTATATTTGCTGTATTGTCTGTGATATCCTTCTGGATCACTGTTGTTTTGAGGGCTCTTAGACGATCGCTTTGTCGTTTGGCAAGATCTCTTTGCATTTCAAGGTTTATTTGTTTGTATTTCATGGCAGCAATATTTGCTGCAATGCTCAAGTATTTTCTGCCTCGCGCTGATAAACGTTTCGCAACACGTTGGAAGTCTAGTGCTTCTCTGTGAACCTGATCAGGGAGATAAGACGTATATGACATTACATCTACATTAAAATCTTCCCACTCCAGATCGGTTGGAAAACTGTCTGCATCGACTGCAAAACTCGGTATATTTTCCATCGCCCTGTTTACTTTCCCAATATCATTCCTCAACTCCCTTCCGAGACTGTACATTTTATTCACTTGTTCTATAATGCCTATAGAAATTTCTACTTTCTTTGCCACTCGAACAATTCCTTCAATGTCCTTGGCGATGTTCTGAGCGCAAACTCCCCCGGTGAATAGAGATCCGACTACGTTAATAACACCAAACACGGCCGAAAAGATTTGCTCTGTTTTGTATTTTTCTATTGCATCTTTTAAGGCAATACCGGCGTCTGTTACTTCCTTTTGTGTGTTAGTAATTTCCGTCCACAGAATCGATGCCTGTTCTTGCTCACGACTTATTCTATCACTTTCTAGATCATGCAGTTGTTGATTGGTGCCAGCAATGTCGTCTTGATATTGGGCGCCTACTTCGGTTTTTTGCACAAGGAATGAGCCAATTCTTTTGACGTTGTCGTTCAGTTCTTTCATTGTCTTTGTAGTTGTTTCGCGGGACTTGTGATAAAATATTTCGGTCGATATAGTTTGAAAGGTATTCTCGTACGCGGAAACTTCCGCTAGCAGTTTATCGTAAAGTGGCTTATACACTGAAAAAGTTAGTTTAGGTACAAGCTGTTTAGACTGAGCATATTCGTTTAATTGTGTCTTGCTTATCAATAGAGCCCTCCCCAATGCCATCTCCAAATCAGTGGGTAACTGAATAGTTCCGTTCGGTTTTTTCGTTGTGAGAAAATCGGTCATCCACTTTAAGCATTCTCTAGCCGTGTTCACAGAGTCGGTACTTGCACGAATAGCGAGGATGCTTTCAATCGTCGTGACTGATAGCTGAACACTGCTAACCAGACCGTCTTGTAACCACTTCATTTTATTTAACATGTTTTCGGAAGAATATAACTCTGGCAGACTAATCCGATCAGGTTTGTAAAGCCTCTTGCTTTTATCTGTGCTGACGCTATATTGTCCGGAATGAAATGGGTGTTGTGAAGTTTTATAAACCTCATCGTTTGCATATGTGAAGTGTTCATTTGTTTTAGCTTGGGTGACTTTGAAAACTCCGCGCATGGTTTCCGCAACAATCTTCACCGTGGGTACAGAATTTTCATAAGCACCGACGATTATTTCCGGGACACTGTTGTTCGATGATAGTGCAACCATCTCTCGACAGATAAGGTAAATTTTCTGAGATCCTGGTAGCTTTATCTTTGAGGCGCGAAGTTTTAGAACATCGGCGAAGATGAAAACGTGTGTTACAAAGGTAGGATTGAAAATGAAAAAGTCGTTCAATACAAATGACATTCGCGTTATTGTGACATAGTTAGTTGCCGTTGAGGTGACGAGACTGGGATTAAAACTGTCGTAAAAGTCTTCAATTCCAGAATCAGTAATGGTGGGAAAGTTAGGTTGACTTTCTGGGCCAAATTTTTGGAAAACTGCCGCCGATAATACGTCGTTCCATACTTTCTGTGATCGCGAGTCACCTGGCAATAGTTTAGTGACCAAGGGTTTGAGATAGAGTTTTATCGGGATAATAGTTGTTAATTTTCTCGGTAGCAAGTACCCTCCATATTGAGCCACAAACATAAAGATACTTTCGGGAACTCTGAAGACATTATCTCGGAGCTGTGATGCGATATTTAGCCAAGCAGGGTCATTGCTAGCTGTTAGAACTTTACCTGCTTCAAGACAAAATCCTACACCACTTTCTGTTTTTAGTTCAGTGTACATGCGATAGTAATATCCCCAATATCCAAAACCATAAGTGGGATTATCAAAGGAAAATTTCAAGACTTTTTCCGCGTCGTTTTTATCGTAAACAAATACTTGATAGATGAGGTCTCCCATCTGGTAACCGGATACGTAATGGGTGCCGTACTCCGAAAATTTCTCAAGTATCTTATTGCTGCCAGAATTCAGGAAGACATTTGCTAGTGGGGATGTTGTGACGTCAACAGCCATGGTTGTGTTAAGTTTCTTCCAGTATCGAGCCAGCACGTACACTTTTCCCACGAGGTTTTCGGGAGATATTCCTAGAAGACTGGAATATTCGCTACTGTTGGTTTCTCCGTTGACATTTTGTCGATGAAGGAAGGGTCCCGCATAACGCTTTTCTTCTGAAAATTCCCACATGGAGAAGAAACCCTTTAGTCATTTTCGTCTGCGTGGTAGGTTAACTGGATGAACGGACCAAATTGGGAATATGAGTTCTGGACTGTCTTCGTTTGGACATTTTGAAACAGGTTAGACCTTTGTACTGGGTAAAATATTTGGTTTAAGCTGTTAGCATTCGGGAACACTGGTTTTAGCCCGTCTAGAACGCTGAAAGACTTGCCAACTTCGAAGGCTGTGAGATAGAACAAAAATAAATGTGTCAATTTGTTTAAATGTGTAAGTTAATCATTACAAATTCTGGCGACATTTGACGTTTAACATAAACCGATTGCAATATTTCCATTAATTTTAGGAATCTCCGGTTTAAATAGTAGCTCTCGAAACCGGCAAAAGCAACGATAGCTACATGCAGTTTCTTGGAAACAGAAAATCCAAACCTATAGTTAAATGAAGTAATGAACTTGGCATGTGATAAAATAAACTAAGTCGCGAAGAATAATGCGCTCAACATGCACAAAAAATTAGACTCGTCATGATTAGGATCTAATATAAGTGCATGCTAGATAATGATGTGACATGATAAAAAAACCTTGGATGAAAAACCCTTGAATAAAAAAACGCGGTTTCTCCAAATTTAAAAAACAAACACTTTAGTGATCGAGTGTTTTCTCAACCCCCCCAGATACTAGGCAATATTTTTGATGTTTTGCTGATTTTGCAATTTACTGAACTTGTCTGTTACCTTGATAAGCGTGAATGATTGTCCACAAAACCACAAGAACTTTTAAAAGCATTGTCAGTTCAAATGCTGCGACAGTCCTTCAGCAAATTAAATTCGTAGGCTGCAAAAAATCTTAAATTGCAGTAAATGAATGGTTGCATGATAAGCATTACCATGGAGAAATTCAGGACATTAATTATCATAATGCCAGGATTTCACAATCAAAGATGGCTTCCTTGTTATTTCTGCCCGTCTTAAATCGAAGTCCGCAAATGCAATATGTAAGATAGAAGTTGCTTTAATTTCAAATTTTTTCTCTTGCCTAATATAATTCAATCATAACAAGGCAGCAATCTTTGATTAAGAAATCCTGCCATTATGAATTTTTATGATAATTAATGTCCTGAATTTCTGGTTATGGACTTTTCATTCAACTAATTTTATATGTAGTATTTAAAACACGAGTAGGAGTGTTTTATGCGGTATAAAACGCGAGGCGCAGTCGAGCGGTTTATAGCGCATAAAACACGAGCTACGAGTGTTTTGAATAGCTTAAAATACGACATTAATATTCAATAGACGTTGCGACCAATCGGATTGAACATGAACTTTATATAAAGCCACATGTGTCTTTATATAAAACAGTGTCCTGATAGTCCTGATAGTGCTTTGTCGAGTATAAAAGCCTACTCACGTGTTTAAAAAGATTCATTGGATTGGTCGAAACGTCTATTGAATATTAATGAGTATTTTAAATCTATATACAGTTTATTGACAATATAAGAGAACATGCATGAAGTTTGGTGCTGCCGAGCGCCTGCGACCATCTAGGTTTTTCGCGTATTGTGGATTCGAAATATCGATTTGCGCGGATACGAATGAAAATTAATAAAAATCAAAAGAGTGAAGAGACAATGTGTGATTGATTGTGATGATCATGCAATGCTCAAAGTTTGGCTACGAATCTTGGCAAACAAAGCGAATTTCTGATTAAAAAACAACTAAAAAACACAACCAGTCAAATTCATGGAGATTTAGAACACCAAAAATATTTCATATTTTTTGTCCAAGAGGGACAAAAAATTAAGTTTCGGAAGTTGCGGATATGGAATATGGATCGAGTATAATTTGCATATTTGTTCAAATATCCGTTTCAATTGCATGCATGCAGCAACTATGAATTTCGCAAAATTTGAGAAAATCCTTGTGTATTTAATATTATTTATTATTAATATAATATATTATATATTATATATAATATATATATATATATATATATATATAATATATATATATTATATATCACATGTGAAGCACAATGGTTTGCATGTGTTTAGTCTTTAGGCCTAAATCAAACGTCGCTCTTTTCATGCCCAAACCTGATGCAAATGAATTAAAATTTTCAGTATCTGTTTATTTTAAACAGCTGTATGGAACACATTTGATGAAAAAATATTATTGGAGTGAGCTGCCATGCTGCTCTCAGTCTAACAGGACTGGTACAAGTAAAGATCTTCCTTAGCGGTACCAATTTAGGCCAAGACCGTCGCTTGACGGTTTAATTGGGTCATTGGGAGACGGTGTATTCATATTTCATGTTCAAAGAACCGTTAAAACAATCCTTTTCAAAAGAAATTGGTCGGGCATAGGACGAAACAACACCACGGGAAGTTAAAGCGACGCCGGGTAAGTATAACTAAAAAAGTTTGGCCATGCAAAAGCAGACCAGTTTATTTACGAAACCTTTCTGTCAAAACCTCTCTTGGATATTTGAATCAAAACATAAAATGAATTTGGACCAAAAGATTTAGTTCACTTTCGGGACGATTATAGTTTTTCTAAAATCCTACCTGAGTTCGATGAGGAACTTCTGCAGGACTTTGTCTTAGTTCTTCGTTTTTAAAGTTGCTCTGTCTTTGTATGTTGCAAATGTTTAACTAGTGGCTAGCGCGCAAGATATCAGCGGCTTGTATGTGCACGGAGCATGAAATTAAATCGCGACAAACGCAGGAAGTTCACCTGCAATGTTAGGTGATATTGGGAGGATTTATTAACACCATTGATTTCTTCTGTAACAAGTAACTAGGCAGGGGTCGCGGAAGATCTTTATGTGGAGGCGGGCTAATATCCATATATTCACCTTTAGCATTATTAGTTTCTTTTCAGAATTGTTTTCTTTTCACGAGTACATGAATATGAGCCTACCCCCACTTCCGCGGCCCCATGCATGGCTTAATATCGAGTTGCTTACTATATATCAAATACATTTTGTATCGCATTGTGAATCAGTGTGGCAGCTGAAAAAATCCATTAACACCAAATGGTCATCATGGTCTAAGATTCGAGATGTGTGAAATCTTGTATGATATCATCAGGTATATACAGGAGACCAAGTACTATAATTGGCTTTTGGTGTTCATGATTGAACTTAGGAGTTTGGTACTCGTGTAGGAGAAGCGTTTGGGACTATACATGGGTATTTGACAAACGCTGCTAGGTGTTTAATTACACTCAAAATGCTACTAATGCGTTAAAATTGCTACCAATCGCTGTAGGCAATTTGAGCCAACCCCATGCATATGTTCGATTTTGAATAAACTGACCAAAACACAGGTGAAGTAACCTTAGATATATACTGATATTTTAACAGGTCTTTAAACTAAACCATAATTTGCATATTTGTCAAAATATCTTTCATTACAATTGCTGCACTATGAATTCAGCAAAGTTTGAGAACATCATTGGGTATTTACAATTTGCCTTAGTTTTTTCTTGTAAATCAAGGCATATCGGAGTTTCTGAGGTGATCACTTTTGCTCCTGTAGGTTAATCTATATCAACTATAGAAACGTTTTGAACGGTATTCAACGTGAGCAAAATTTGGAATAAGGAACCATTATATAGCTAGCTAGTTAATAAAGGTCCTATCATTTTCGGCATGCAGTTTAAAAAAATTCCAAAACATATCTGCGCTAAATTAGATTGGTATATTAGATTAGGTATATAGAGCGCATTACCAGACACACACATTATATATAATTATATAAGCGCCTTGTTAACTTGTGATCTTAAAATCCGCCATGCAAAAACAGATTTTCACTGATTTGACCATGCAGTCAGATAATAAAATCGGTACGATTAGAAAAATTTTACCATGTTTTCTCGCACAGCTTACAGTTCTTTTAAATCTTACCTGTTCGTTTTGATTTTGGGCTTCAACTGCAGACCGTTGCTTCTTCAAATTTCTTCCTCAAACTTGTGATAGCTATAGTTGATCGTTCTACACCAGTCCGGCCATCTTTGCAAATGCACGATGTTGGCGTGAGACTGTCTGTCCAGTGCAAATGATCACCAACTTATAGGTAGGCGTAACGAATGAACTTTACAAGGGGACAGGAAGTTCAATTACCAAGCAGAAGTCGGGTGATATAGTGGCTTGCGGGTGAATTGTCAATGCCGACTAGCGGAGATTACCAAAATACATCTATACATATTGATGCAAATATATGTTATCATTGATATTTCTCGAAGTGCGAGTTGTGAAATGTCTATTAAATACAAGGAACGACTCTTTTTGAGAGTCAAAATATGAATCAAACAAGAATAATACTAACTCACCTGACGAATGCCCTCAGGTTGCCGAAACGTCGAGAAGTGTTAGGTATTGTTGCTTTGGCGTTGTTATACCACATTTGAGAACAATACACAGGTTAAGGACCTGTAAATTTTCGACTTTATTTCAAAGTCATTTTCAGACAGAATGACATTGCTTCCACTTTAAGTTCAAATTTCCTTTTCGGAAAGTACTTTGAAATCTCTTGACAATTCATAAAACTCAAACAGCTATAAAGGCCGTTCTGAGACATGAGTATATATGTTTTTGTACACATGCGTGTAAGGTTATATAGTATATCAGTAGAAGAAAATTATTTACACGATTTTTCTTAACGATGTGCAAGTTTCAAATCTTCAGTGCAAAACGCATTTTGTTCGCATTCATAAATATTTTTTCTCACAATGTAAAAACTGATAGGTTAGAATAACCAAAAAAAATAGGCTGTTTGGGCAAGAACGCACAAAGAATTTCTGTGTTTTTCATTTCGTAATGGATCGCCGGTAGTCGGTCCATTATGGGCGAGTGCCGGAATGTAATGGACTGCTGAAAAACTCTTCTCAGCCTATCACTGTGCTCCATTTCCCCGGAAGTGACGCTTGCCATATATTAAATGCCTTATAATACTAGGCTTCTGGATCAAATACAAACACTACAAATTAATGCATGCGCATGTTGGTACTAGAACGTGGGTTACACTCCTTCCCCAGACCCTATGACATCAGAATGCATACCAATATTTCATCTGAATGCCATTTGAACAATTAATCATTTTGAAAACTGCGCAGTCATTTCTTAGTTGCTCATCTAGGGCGGGTTGGTTAAAGCTTGATATATAAATAAATCCAGTTTAATAGGTTTATTGTGTATAACGTACGCGTCAACCCTTTGCATGAAGATTTATTACCTAACCATGTAAACATCGGTCGAATATTTTCATCAGTAGATTTCGGCTGATCTTATTTTGGCTGCTGCTGCATGTTTAAAAAACCGGCTTGCTTTAATAATTGTGCTTTATCTTGTAACCACGCGCAGTCTTCTACTGCATACATGTATAAGTGCACGGTAATTAAGCGTGGCTTCGGGTACTTTTGCTTCTAGTATCATTCTTCATATCAAATTAAACACTTTATGGAAACCAATATCACACACACTTTAAAAAGCGCCAAATTCATTATGCGCTACTGTATAGACGATAATATACTATATATATTAGACTCACTTACCCAGATTTTCTTTCATCAGCCGATCTAAGCGGTCGAAGCATCCATGTAGGAATACATCAAAGGCAGTATTTTCATTTCAAAATCACAGTTTGGATATACGAATTGTACTTGACACCATCTTGAATTGGTATTTAAAGTAAAAAGTCATAAACAATAATTGTTTAAACTAAGCCGAACAAAGGAAGCTTTGTCGAACGAACCCAAAAGCATACTGCCTTCGTTTGGATATTGTCTGTGTAATCTCTGCCAAGATTTTGTTTGTATATATAACTCATCCTGTAACATAACCCGGAATTACTGCCGAAATCATTCAGAAGTGGCTGAATCTTCTCTTTCAAGCCGTAATCAAAATCTTACTTTCCTTCTTCTATTGTTGAGAGCTTGGCCTGGGTCAAACGTTGCGCTATAACTATTCATGCACGCCAAACGGGATTAACTACAAAAGATAAGTGACTGAGTTGTCTTATCATCTATTGTTCAGTCATAAATGCGTTGATTCCAGAGAGTGCAGCGAACAGCGCGTATGACGCTTTTGTTTGGAATTTGAATGCATGATTACAACAGCACTATAGGGCCTGTTGTACACTAGTTAGCTTTCAACTGCAGTTAGGGACAGAATTCGCCAACCAGAGTTGTGTATTTCGGAGTTAACTGTACAACCGGTCCCTGAGCATTAATTATGACCATTGAAATTTTAACAGAAGCTTCATTTCAATACGGAGTGATTTTTCATGTACATTTTTCATGCACCCTGTATATTGAATTCTTAGGACAATTTCGATTATGCACCTTTTTACGATGAATACAAAAGTGTGTAATTCTGGGTATTATGAAAAAAGAATGGTTAAATTTTCAGATCATATACCATCAGCTTGATAAAAGAATGCCTTGTGCTGCAGTTCGAGTTAGTAATACACCCAGAACAGCGACGATCAACACATTTATTGGAGAAGTGACATTCATTTTCAGACATGACCAATATCACAGTCTGAATTTTGTCAAAACTTTGTCAGTATACTGCTATTGCAATCTGTAGGAGTCATGGCTGTCATGTATTCATCGGCGCAGGTAACAGGATCCAAATCATCGCAAAGCAACAAAGCAAAAACAATTACGAGAAGCCACTTCGGCATTATACAGGGTGTCCCAAAAAAAAGCAAACTTAAATATGCAGAACATTAATACAGCTCTAAGGGGCTGTTTACATGAGCCCGGTTACCCGAGATTCAACAAAGCTTGAGAGGACTTTGAGCTATTGAAATGAGCAGATGCATGATCCTGGCAGTCGTATAATCACCACAACAATAGCATGTGCTTATTTGGTGTCAGAAAGACTTATTTCAATACCTCAAAGTCCTCTCACGCTTCGTTGAATCTCGGGTAACCGGGCTCATGTAAACAGCCCCTAAAGCGCAATAGATAAGCACCTTGGGAATTGAAATAGCTCTTAATCCTTCATTTACAATGCTAAAAGTCATTTTAGCTGAACTATGGTGCAAACCCGAACAATATTAATATTCTTGCATATCTAAGTGTTCCTTTTTTTTTGGGACACCCTGTATACACAGACGCTTATATGTACAGGGTGTCCCAAAAAAAACGCAACCATTTAATTATGCAAGAATATTAATATTGTTCGGGTTTGCACCATAGTTCAGCTAAAATTAAAATGACTTTTAGCATTGTAAATGAAGGATTAAGAGCCATTTTCATTTCCCAGAGTTGCTTATCTATTGCGCTTAGAGCTGTATATTAATGTCTTGCATATTTAAGTGGTTGCTTTTTTTTTGGGACACCCTAGCTGTATATGCAGGCTGGCCAACAAAATAACAAATTACACAAAGCCGTCTCTAAAAAGACTTATTTCGATATTAAAACATTCACATGTTGGGGCGACATATATCGTTTTGTTTTAGAAAGCATTTTTAGAACCCGTAATAATTTTTGAAAAGAGACATGCACACGCTATATCCGAATTAAAGTCCGAAGACTTTCCGATCTAATGAAGTCGTAAACCCGGAATTATTATTGCTTAAACTGTAATAATCCTGTCTCGCTCTATTATGATGCAAGCACTTTTAATTCATACACTTAATTCCTGAGGTTCGCAACAGATTGCAAATTAATATTTTGTAAGTAATGCAAAGCTGTGTGAAGATTTTTAGCGTCCAAGACCTGAATAAGCAGTGGCGTAGCCAGCCTGACGATTTTGTCCCGCTATGTAAATTTGGAGTTATTATAATTATTCATGCCTTTAGAAATCTATTGTTTTCACAGTCAGTGAACACTAAAATATTAGCATAGCGGGACAAATCGACAGGCTGGCTACGCTACTGTGAATAAGATCTGTCAAAGTGAAAAGCATTTGCTACCAACCGTTGCTTCATAACGACAAACGAAGATATCGTGACATGCAGTGAAACCGGTATCGTGTGATGAACAGGGCCTTAGTCAGGTGCAATGACACAACTTGCGACATTGAGTATAGGTGGATAAGGTTATTCTCCTTTGGCGCGCTTCCCGACCTCTATTTATTTCGAATCCCGGATTATGTAAAAAAGATGAATAATTATTCAATGACTTAATTTAAAAAACACATTTATTTTTCCAAAAAGTAAACCCCAAAAAACATTTAGTACATTACGACACAACTATATTCCCAAATATTTTTTTTTAATTTTTTAAAAAGTATGGCAAGAATCATTGAACTAAAAGCTTCCCATGCACACGGTGTCCCACTATTTAGCCTAAATAATGGGGACTTTACCATTCCTGATATAAAAGTTTAAGATAATCAAAATTTCTACCCTGCGAAAGTAGTAAAAGCTTCGAATTAAAGGTTTATATATCACCTGCAACAAACTCACAAGCGTTTGCTTTTCCTGGCTCATGCTCACATCCCTCAGATTTCTTATTTCCATACTTGTCAGTGATCACCACTCTCAAGACATCTGTACCTGGGTAACTCCAACTACCAAATGCGTACATTTCTCTCTTCGACCCAGACAACACAGTCGTCACGTCTTGGAAGATTTGCTGACCATTTGCCCATTCCATAGAGTATTTTCCCAACAACTCGAAGATTGCTTTCCATTTGTACTCCAAGTCCTGGACAGTTCTCAGAAGGTTGATGGTGATTTCAGTGTCTTTCGGCACTTCAATGGAAACATCCGTCTTATCCGATGCAGTGTATGTTTTTGTCTTACTAGATTCGACATTAAAAGGTCCTGTCTCAGTGATTTCTTTTGTAAGGGCTGTTTTACCACCTAAACCGAGAGCTCCTGCACTGATTTCCGTAGAGACTCCAATTTTCACCGTCAACGAGAATCCTGAACCGATCTTGAAGGTGGATGAAATTGATACAGATGTCGTGAGCCACTTGGTGCACTTGTATGGATTAGGATGAGCGGAGCATATGAAAGGACGGAATCCTTCGACTGGTTCAGGTTTGGCGACAGGTTGACAGGTTGGCGACATTTAATGGCGATTTGTCTTCGATGTTGAATTTGACAGCATTGAGTGCCAACATATTGGAGCGATCGGAAATACCTTTGCATTT